GGAACCGAGCACCGTCAGTAACAACCCGTCTGTTTTCTCTCTTTCAGGCTCGCAACGCGGAGAAGGCCATGTAAGTACGGCTGGGGATCCCCGGCTGGGGCGGCCCGCTGCCCCCGCCCATAGCCCCTGAGCGGGCGCTGCAGCACAGGCTTTGGCCTTAGGCTAGAGACCTTCCAGCCCTGCAGGTTCCGGAGATCAGTCTGTGTTATCGCCTGTTGCTTCTGAAGCAGCGTGATCGTGATCGTGTGTTACGCTGTCCTGCACGTCTGAGACAGGCTGTATTTGGTTTGAGAGACGTCTGTGCCCTCTGTGGCGCAGCTCACACCCACAGAGCCGTGCTTGCCCAGTGGGACTCACTGTTCAGCCTTTTTTAAAGCACTAGATGTTTAATAATGCTTTGGGCTACTTAGCTGCACGTGTTAAGCTGCTCTGGAGCCAGTGGGAGCAGGAGGGATAGAAGACATCTGTGTGCAGTGTACCTGGTGGTGTGGAGCTTGGGTAGCTGTGCTCACCAGTGCAGGAGAGAAACTGCAGCAAGGGCTGGATGGGAAATGTGGTGAAAGATGTTTTAATGGCTCATTATGGTTGTAGGCAGTTCTCATTTTTGGAATAGAGATGCTAGGCTGGATAGGAATCTATCAGTGTTGATTTAATTTTTGCCTGGGAGTGGCTTGAGCTAAACTGATGTTTTTTAACGTATTTATTTTTGTATTGACTTTCTTAAGTACTTTTTAAAAACGTTTGCAGACCACATATTTAGAACTACTAGATTAGAGGCTCTTCAATATATTTGTCTCATGTTTGTTCTTTTCCCTAAAATACTTTCTGAGCTTATAATAGTAACTCAGAGAGAGACTGAAGAGGCTACAGTGATCTAATGCCTCGTGAGGTGCTCATTTACGGTGATCCCATCCAGTGTGTCTGTGACACTGGACTGGATGGTGTGATTTTCATTCTGGAAATGCCTCTTACCAGATGGAGCCTAGATAATTGGCTTAGATGCAGGGTATAGCTATGCTGTTAAAGGTTTTAAATGTGCTCAATTGTCTTGTGCTTTTTAACATAACTGTTAGATGTCTTTTAAATAAATAAAACTGTGTATTAAAAAAGGTAGTGTATGTAGTCTCTGCCCAGTTGTGAGAGACTCAGAATATTTTGGTAACGTTAATGAACTTGATTACTAACTGCTGCTTTCCTTACTGAACCTTTTTTTCTCTTGAGTTTTTTGTTTGCTTTTTGATGTATCCCCTGCTAAGATATGTCAACTTTATGCTTGTGCTTATAAATTGTGGATGTCCTTTTGCTGCTAATATCTAATATGCTGGTACATGCTAAAATTATTAAAAAATAATTAGCTGCTTACCAGAATTTATATTTATCTAAGAAAATAACCATTGAAGATTTCTAGTGTTGAAGAAGTCGCTGGACGGAAGAGCTAGTCAATGGATATGTTCAAGCCTTTGTTTTCTTCAGACTGTAATTAAGCCCGTAATAAATATCCAGAGCAAAAGTTGTTCATGTTGGAATGTAGATTTGTAAAAGTAAATCTGCTTCCTTTCTTTTCTTTAGGACGGCCTTGGCAAGATTTCGGCAAGCTCAGCTTGAGGAAGGAAAAGTTAAGGTACGATGTAAAAAAACTAAAGCTTTGTTAGCTCTAGTCAAGAGTGGAATGCAAGCCATGTACAGAGCTGTGTGACAGCTGTCAGAAAGGTCCTATGCCAGATACAGGTATCCTATAGGAGTCTGACATTAGTCATCTGGAAAACACCTGAAGTAGGGACTGTATTTCACAGTGACACAAAACAGAAATGGTAAATAGAATTTTCTTAACTAAATAATGTGTTTAAAAAATTATGTATATTTATTACAGAGGTATGTTGGCTTGGCTGCGAAGAAGAAAGTGCAAATTGAACATCACTTAATTTTTTTATGTAATGTAGGTAGAATATGTAATAGTTTGGGAAAAAAACCAAACTACAATAATGCTATAAATAGAGGCAGTATGCTGGGCAGAAAATGAAAATTATTTTTGAGACTGAAGTTATCTCCTGCAACTACTTACGCAAACTGATGCGCATACACTTATTTTTACTGACAGTAATCACAAGGTTTGTTTGGATTTCTTCCCAGAAGAGGTAGAGAAATCCTTCTTGTAATCTTGTTGATTGGTAATATTCTGACACAACAGTAACCACAAAACAGAGGGCCTTCAGGATCCTTGTGAACTCGAGGCTTGCGTGAGACATAACATTGGCATGTTACTACCCCAACATGTGATAGGTGTACATCTGTTCATAATTGTCTCCACTGTCATGCAGCTTTTTTATTTGATTAGTGTAAGATTGACAAAAAAATGGACTTAGCAACTTTGTAATTTACACCCCCCACACACTGTAATGAAATAGCACCCCTATACCCACACAGAACCTTAGAGACTGATTCTCAACTATCTCTGGGTATTCCTGTGCATTTTTCACTGAATCATAACTCAAACTGCAAGAATATTTATGTGGGGATCAGAGTGTTCTCAATAACTTTTTTTGGACAGGTTTATAATTTTTAATTTTGGGTAACTGATGAAGGAATTATGGAAACTAACTGAGGTGTCCTATGTTTGCACCTTAAGAAATTATGTTTTACACATGAGTGAGAGCAATATGAAACACTAAAGTGGAAAATAACACTTTGGGGAAACTGCAGTGGACAAGATTCCATGAGCAATAGCCAGAGAATAAGATGGAATAGAGTTTCTGGTATATTATGTGAAGGCAAGCTTTTTAGTATATAAAAGGTAGAGCTGTGGAAGTACTGTAAGGAAAGGGACAAAAATCATAGAATCATAGAATCGTTAAGGTTGGAAAAGACCCTTAAGATCATCGAGTCCAACCATTAACCTAGCACTGCCAAGTCCACCACTAAACCATGTCCTCAAGCACCACATCCACCTGTTTTTGAAATACCTCCAGGGATGGAGAGACAACCACTTCCCTGGGCACCTTGTTCCAATGCTTGACAACCCTTTCAGTGAAGAAATTTTTCCTAATATCCAATCCAAACCTCCCCTGGTGCAACTTGAGGTCATTTCCTCCCATCCTATCACTTGTTACTTGGGAGAAGAGAACAACCCCCACCTCGCTACAACCTCCTTTCAGGTAGTTG